AACTTTACAAGGTAAACATACTATTTAATACATAACTAACATACTATTAAATGGTAAAGACTCGTAATCAAGGGATTGTACTTGCCAATTTTTAATTAATTAAAAATGTTACTTTCTTTTTTCTATTTATATAAATTAAATTTACCTTTATTCTATTTCATAATCAAGGTATTAATTAGTAATTTCACAGTTACAAAATAATGTAGTTTGTAAGTAGTTGAAAATCGGATAAGAGATTTTCGTGGAGAGAACTCCAAGAAACGTGAGTCAGCCTCTGTTTAATTTATTTCGATCGAAATAGCGATGGTTGGATCAAGTCAATTTTCAAACTTTCTTTTCTTCACTTCAATTTTAGTTACGCACAAAGCGATACTTACAAAACTATCCCCTCGAAAGTGCCAAAAGTACATTTCGAAGATAGTTTATGGTGAGTGCATTACTAGTGCCATGGCACCAACTTCGGGTCTGAATAATCTTAATTAGTATTCTGTCAACTCACAGAAACCGTAGTTCTCCGGCATTTTTAATAAAAGGGGCGAATGCTCTTCATCAAAGAATAATGTCTAAGCTTATTAAACCCGTCGTAATTTATTATCATAACATTTCTAGGAATTAGGTATCTCAGATTTACTCCGAGTTACTCGAATTTGATAAGTGGCATTTACTCGCTGCGTTTATTGTACACACTATCAGACTGTCGTACAGGTGTTTATTTCCATTCGGCTTCGCGCCAAATTCATGTGGATATGATTAGCTGGTATTATATGCGCTGCATAGTCAACACAACAATAATAATTTCATCTTTAAATTATAGATTAATAGTGACTGACAAAAACTTTAAAACGTAAGTTTTTCTGTCAAGAAATTCTCAGGAGCCTGGAGTCAGGAACTCAGGAAGCACGTTAAGTCATTTGTCTTGCATCTGATTTCTCTCTGGACGTATCGGATTGCCGCCCCATCGGACTATGAAAATAAGGGAATAGAGAATGCACCTGAACTTACAGACACTCGTTGAATTTGGCCGCCTTGACCAAAATTCACTTTATTATTTGCCACATTTTCCTTCCTTTCTTTTCCTGTTTTATTTCCCTTTGGCGCCTCTTATAATACCTACCGGGATTACATGGGGTAGTTCATCACGCTATTGTCCACATTCCACGTTTTCGAACCAAATGTTTGCTTCGTTGTTTGTAATGATTACAACGGAGGAATCATCATCATCATTACAGCCCTACACAAGTTCACTGCTGAACATAGGCCTCCCCCAAAGAATGCCACAAAGCGCGTCCTGAGCCATCTGCATTCATCGACTTCCAGCATAGACATGCCGGAAGTCGATGGATGATATATGATACATGATACCAGGTCGTTACTCCATCTAGTGGAGGGCCGCTCCACACTTCGCCTACCAGTACCGGGCTAACCACGAAGTATTAATTATAAAAAAATTGTTTTTTTAGCACCAGTTTTACGTGGATGATGTTGTCACTGAAAGTAAGGACAAGTGAATGGTTTAGCAGGTGCAATTTACCGCACAGGGTTACGTCACCACTTTACCAGTTATTAAGTCAAAGACAATCGGAATTTTTTTATTGTATTTTTTTATGTTTTGCGATGAGTCATAGGCGTAGGTCTGAAGGATTTTAATTTTATCACAAGCGTATGATTATAAATTCTCAAGTTCATTCAATAGTCAATGTGTGTACAGGTACTTGCCTGTCTCGTTAGTCCATTGGTGAGTTGAGATCCCGGGTTCGAATCCCGGGTCAGCAAAATCAGTTTTGGGCGTTTTTACTGTCAGTAACAGGGCCCAGAGTCAGGAAGTTGACGGTGTTTCAACCCTGTTCCTCGGAAATCACGTAGAGCAGTTAGTCCTACGCCTGACGCCCGCCCCCACCCTGGTCTGAAATTCGGTCTGGAAGCACTTGCAAAATTCTATTACTAGGATACTTATGCGAATAACGATATCTGATAATCCTTTAATATCAGTCAGTAAAAAATAAATCAATTCCATCCTTAGCATAGCATTTCTGGCTACATCAACACTTTGGCTACGTCAGGTGAGATAGTAAACAAGCATTAACTTATAATAAGTTAAAAAAAGATCTAAAAAGATCTTAATTTATTAGATTTTGAAAATTAAAATAAAAATAAATCTTTCGAAATGTAGAGCTACAAACAGCTAGAGACGTAGATAATATATTGTTAAAATAGAAAATTATAAAATTTGACATTGATTAGTATAAGAATAAAAACTACTTTTTCATCTTTAATTCATGTGCCCCCACTTAATAGTGTTAAAATCATAGATAAGCTAATATAATCGGGAGGCCTAAATGATCACTGTCGCACGGACACCTATATCAATACTCGCTCAAAATGGGCAATAATAATGACAAGATGTACTTAGTTAAGTTAACAATATCAAATTAAGACTGCTAGTAAATATTGTTGGTTATTGTTAACTCACGCTTCATACTTTTGTATGAAGAGTGAGTTAACAATTCAACCCAGTGGTAACTGGTAAATAAAGGGTAGGGTTATTGCATTTCAATTCATAGTACAATAACAACCTAAAATTCTCACAAAAGGAGAAGCTACGTGGTAGAGCCATGTCTACGCGGTAGAACCATGCTGCGGCTTCAGAGTCGGCTAGACCGGGAAAGGACCACGCTCTCAAAGTATCATAGCAGCTTAACGCTGCTGTGTTTCATATGGTGAGTGTAGAGTACCGCAAACCCTTTTTAATGGAAACGAGGCATTCCGTCTTAGTCCTCACTGGTGACAACGCATTTGCATTTTGATACATAAATTCATAATCGAGGATAGATGTAGATGTCAATGGGCCACACAACCCATAACCATCAAATGAACTGTGGGCTCGTTTGTCATCTTTATCCTATAATAAAAAAGCACATGTCCAGCTGTGGGCTATTAGGGGTTGAAAAAGTTAAAGAGCAACTTAAATTCAAGGCATCAAGGAAATTGTTAATTCGTCACTGAAATTTTGTTGACTTATATGGTTCTCGGCAATAAAGAAATAAGAACTATCAAAAACTAAACAGCAATGAGCCCGCGTTTATCGGTGATGCTCATGGTTTGCAATGTGATATGATGATGAGGTTGCTTGAACAGCTCCATCGGACTTTATTTCTCTCTCACAAATATGGGGGTATACCTACACTTCACTTTCCAGTGGAATAATTATTGGCTGTTAATTTGCTTGTTTTTACTTTCATAACTTATTTTATTATTTCATCAAATTTTTGTTAAAGAGTTAAAAATTCAAAGGGAGAAAAGTCTCCCTTTGAATTTTATACCTACCTTAATATGTTTAGCTAGCCTACAGGTACGTGTATTTAACTATTGTATAAATAACCGCATGCAGTTCTAGCACTTATTAATAAAATTATCATCGAATGAATAACGAACGTTGCTGAAAGGAAGTGCAATTTTATATTTAATCATTAAGCCATTTAAATTAGCTTTGTAATGACATAATATCTATAAATGTTTTAGGCTATGTTATTATTATATAAATATTGTTAACCTATAGTTAGTAGGCATGGCGTAGGATGTCACATAAATTCACCTATGTAAATCATAAAAATCATAATATTTGACAGAAGGTGATACAACCATCTCGTATAATTGTCAAATGTCATCCGCATAAGTACAATCCTCAGTTCTCAGTATTTAGAAACGATTTCTTACTCAGGAATATACATACGTACGGAAAATATAGGCAAACGAAGCCTATATCTTCCGTACGTATGTATATTCTATATCCTGCTGAAAATAAAACAACGTTTACTGCGAAACAAATAACGCTCTGATCATTTATTATGAACGTAGATTTTTAGTAGGGTAGGGTTTATAATATTTACCATAGTATTCGTCTGGCATGCAAGTTTTTTTAGCAACATTGATCTTACATCAACCAAAAATACCTGACCGGCGACGGCGCGCATCAATGGTGCGAGTTGTGACATTGCAACCACCGCCACCGATTCAAGCCCTGCAATTTGCCTGTATCTACCCGTTTCTCGTGTATTTCAATTTCGCACATTTGATCAGAAGCTTCAATGCCTATATACGAAGATCAATATGACAGCTTTCGTATTTAGAATTTTAAGCTCTAGCACTAAAGTAATATGAAGTTGAAAATAGTTTAAAAATGTTACCTTGGATGCTAGCATGCTGTAGCATATTATGCATATTATCAAATTTTCAATATAATTTAGGATTTTATAACTTTACCCCACGATACAGGATTACCTAGCGTGGGTACCATCGGATACTTTAATGAAATGAAATTGTTTTCTCTGAAATAAAAAAATACTGGCACTCGGGGACTGCCGCGGTAAAGCTATTGCATAGAATTTTATCAACCTATGTAATTATAATTATTTATTTATTTTATTTATACAGTATTTTTTTCTTTGATATTAATTCAAGTTTTTTCTTTGAATTAATTCAAGTTACACTTTTTCAGCGTGGTGACCGATAAGAAAACAATTTTTTTTCTTTTATTGAATAAATGGGAAGTTAATATTGTTTAAAATTATTTTTATTATCTTACAATAGATGTAGGTTATTCAGGAATTTTTATCATTAAAACTATAGGTTTATGATAATTAACGAGTTCTTCCGACAAACGATCATTTTCTATAAAGTCTGTTTTTATTAAATACTCTAAATTCACGAAAGTTACTATCATGACGACGACTCATATAAATCCGGAGAATATGCTTCTTGCAATAAACTATATTATTGTTTAAAATATTTTTTTATTATCTTACAAAACATGCAACTAGTCTACACGCACATACGTCTAGTCGCACGCACACAAACACCGTGTCGAAGTCTGCCGAACTTAAACGACGTTAGACGATGTTAGGTTGCAATAGTATGCAATAGCTTAAAAAATACGTTTTTTTATTTTATTCACATAATTGCTGACATAACACAAACAATACAGCTTTGTAATGCAATTTCAGACTGAATTAATCTACCGACCACAATCACGAGGCGTCACCCGGCTCGTCACCTACCCGGAAGTGCCGCACCATTTGGTTCGCGTGCGCGTTCGTCCGTCTGTCATCCTGCGGGAGCTCGACCGGATCTCGTACCGGCGCCGTCCGAACTACTCTGTCTCATCTGTTGATGACTTCTTCAGATCAGAAACAACTAGAGTAAGCTTAATATTTTTTGATTAAATTAGATTGAAAACGGTCTTGCAATCAAAGTTTTTTTTTCATAGATTTTGAAGTGAAAAAGCACAGTCCACTTGATGGTATATCGTGGCTGTTACTTTGGGTCCACTAACACCGCCAGAATACCAGCGTAAACTAGCAGCTTAATGCTGCTGTGTTTCGTGTGGTGAGTGTGGTAAGGCATCTGCATTTCGATTCTTAATTAAGGACGTGTAAATGCCTATGGGCTATGTCACCTACCACTAGGTGGACTATGTGTTCGTATTTCAACCTTATTCTATATTAATAAAAAATAAAAATATCTACTTTTATCCTTGATCACGAATTACTTGGTTTGCTAGAAGCAGTTTTTGCAGTTACCGCAGAAAAGGGTTCTTTTCAGCGGTAACTTGTGGGATCTCTTTAATTTCACGGCACTCCTCTTGCTGTCTTAGCCAACATCGGAATCTTAAGAGTCGACATATCGAATAACGACGAATGAATTTCATGGTCACTTGGAAGGGAAGGCTCATTTGGCCTCTAAAAAGCTTGGCGTGCTTAGGATCGGGATAGTATTTCATGCCGGTACACCACTTGCAACTTTACAAGGCGCAGGTTCGTCGTCACATGGAATACTGTTTGCATCTCTGAGTCGGGGCACCTCAGTGCCAGCTCCATCCACTTGACCGCATCCAGGGCAGAGTGGCTCGGATCGTCGCTGACCGAGTTCTTTCCGATCAGCTCGATTCACTGGCGCTACGAAGATATGTTGCATCCCTTTGCATTTTCTATGACATTTACCACGGGGAGTATTCTGAGGAATTTGTTCGTATTAATTTCAGCCACTAAATTTACCAAGGCAAATCACGACAAAGCTCACGATACCATTCATACAACCTGGATGTTTGGCGGTCCACCACTGTGCGTTTTACTAGGAGTTTTCCTCCTCGGACGACCTCTTTGTGGAATCGTTGACCACCGGTGATTTTTCCGGATCGATACGACTTAGGGATCTTCAAGAAAAAAGTTTACTCATTTCTAAAAAGCCGGCGGCTCAGGATTTTCATCTGCTTGTTCAGAAATTAACTGTGTTGCATCCAGATGCTTTCTTGCCACCCACTTCGAATCTATCAACGCCTTTTCTTTCGAGACAACCTTTTTTCAATTGTATATATTATCATCAGTATACGACAACGTTTTAGACAGCATAATAAAGCTGCGACACCAACGTGGCATAATCTCAACGATACTCGTACTTTTATGAAATTAATTTACTCATGCATAACGCTAGTTTCGTAATGTAAATTCAGCTACAGGCAAACGGACCTCACTCAGTTTATGCTGTCGCCGTAACTACAACGCTGATTTTCAGTGGGCCCGAATATCACCTCATCACTTCAGGATGAAATTCACTTGAAACTATTCACTTCTTTATTGGTCTAAAATTACTAGTACTTATATTTTTAAAGTCGGCATTTTAAGCACCAGCTTGCATTTTAAGTTAGATGAAGGTTACATGCCAGTGCCACACGACCGAAAGAACAGACTTAAAGGACATTTACCAAAGATCGGAATTGGAACTCCTGATTGTTATAATTCTATTATGTAAACATGAACAAAAATCGATATGGTAACTTGCAGTTGTTCGAGGATGAGACGCGCCGCATCCGCGCAGACTCCGCTTCACTGATGCAACGCGCTCGCTCTGTTGTACCACGTGCTAAGTCTGTCGCACCACTTGATACTATTCATTCGTAAGTATTTGTAGAACTACAAAAAAGGCTTTTGGAAATAATCTTTTGTAGGTTGGTAGCAAGGAACATAATACTCTCTCACGAGAGGACATATTATGCATTACAGCCTATAAAAGTCCACTGCTAAACATAAGTAAAAAAGGCCCAAAGATTGCCGGATATAGGGGTGGGGATATAGATATGGGGGAATTACTCTATAGTTGTCAGTTGTCACGCTTGACAACCGCAATTTTTTATAATTTTGACTTGTTATCAGGTAGACGCTGCTGCCGATCTCTTGGTTTGTTTCCCTTTGCCGCCTCTTACGACATCCACTCGACGAGAATATCCACTACTTACACCGCCACTAATATGGTGAACATATTAATCAGGTTGTAATAATGGGAACAGATCTGTCAAGACTTGTTATCGTCATGCTTAGAGAACGCATCGATAGTCACAGTTGCAATATCAGATCATACCAAAGGTGTAGAAGTTTGGTAGTTTCTATTACGAGTATTGAGCTATTCTACATTTATAGTTAAAGCTACAGCCTATGTATTTACGTCCCTCTCCTGGGTACAGCCCTGTAATTTTTAAGAGGGGAGGGAGAGGGGAACATATAACAATAGAAATTATATTATTTGAGTTTACTTCTAGTAACCCTGACTTTTCTCTTCACACGATGACCTGAGGTACAATGCCTTGGAACTCTTCGTACAGGGTCATTGGTAATTTTACCTGTCTTAAAACAGTTAAAAATTATTTTAGTGTGACGTAATTTTTAAGAGGGTTTTACATATAACAATGGTAATGATTATTCGAGTTTAGTTCTAGTAACCCTGACTTCTTTCTTCACATAATGACCTGAGGTACAAAGCCTTGAAACCTCTTCGTCCAAGGTCATTGGTAATTTTACCTGTCTTAAAACAGTTCACGATTATTTTAGTTTGACGTAACGGGACCAAAATAGATAGGTCATTGATGCAACGCCTTGCTATTGACATTGATGTCGCACATCAATCGGGACATCGTTCGAGAATTAGAGCGTAAACAAACTATAAGAGGAGATTCGGGTCATCAATTTCATCATACCTTTAATCATCAGACGAACTACATACCCTACGCAAACTGTTATTTTTACCTTTCTGTGGTCCGTGCCAACTTCACAGAAAATTATGAAATCAGTTATGAAATGACCCGAGTGCTTAGAGGAATTACAAGCATACGCCTGGGTATATATGTATATATATATATTGTATATAGCTATATATATTATGTACATACACGTCTGTATATATGTGGAAATAATTTTTTTCAAAAGAACGCATTTAAAAAAAAATAATTTTATTGAAAAAAAAATTAATTTGCAATTTTATGTGGTTTTAATTGCATTGGCCGAGGAGCAAGAGGATAGTCAAAGACCCCGCATTACCGATACTCGTGTGAGTTAGAGGAAATAAAACCACATGCAATTTGCAAAATATTTTTTTCATTAAAATAAAAAAAAATTTAAACGCGTTTTTTTTTTGAAAAAAAAATGTTTCTATACGCTTGACTACTGATTCTGATAACACACTTAACGGGAACCACAGGGTTTTTGTTACATATTGTATAATCAAATAATAGTAGTTATCTATAATTATTACTGTGTGTGAAAACTTTTTCGATAGCGACGCCGTAAAGTTTACATAAGTTACGTCTTGAACGATCAAAATTGTCAAAAATACTTCTAACAACCAATCACGAGCGTTAACGTTCTCACTGTCGAATGTTAAGTCAATGTTCGATGATCGATATCGACCACGTAGTAACCTCGCAATCAGGGTCAAATTATGATGTTTCAAATTATTGTCACTAGTTGGCGCTTTTTTATTCCATACAAATCGTAGTTAACTTTATCGCTATCGAACGCGTAAAAAAACTCGCACTAGGCACACAGCCGCAGGACCAACGACTTTACGTGCTTTCCGAGGCACGGAGGTGAGACACCGCCAACTTCCGGACTCCGGGCAGGTACTGAGAATTTGTTGACGAAAAACTCAATAAACTGATTTTTTTTCTGGCCCGACCTGAGATTGGAACCCGGGACCCCATGATCAGCAGTCGCACTACTACAACCACTAGACCAACGAAACAGTCATCCTGAGTTCATACGTGTTAATTCAATCTATAATAACAGTATTTTTTTAATGAAAACTTCTTTAGGCACGTTGGGCACCTTTGGAATGGGGAAAAATCATTGAACGTGCGTGACCGTCACGCTCAGATACATATATACAGACGTGTATGTACATAATATATATAGCATATATATATATATATATATATATATATATATATATATATATTATGGAATAAAAAAGCGCCAACTAGTGACAATAATTTGAAACATTATTCCTGATTGCGAGGTTACTACGTGGTCGATATCGATCATCGAACATTGACTAACATTCGACAGTGAGAACGTTAACGCTCGTGATTGGTTGTTAGAAGTATTTTTGACAATTTTGATCGTTCGAGACGTAACTTATGTAAACTTTACGGCGTCGCTATCGAAAAAGTTTTCACACACAGTAATAATTATAGATAACTACTATTCTTTGATTATATAGACAATCTCATCATAATCAAAGCTGCTATTATAATGCCAGTGTTGAAGCAAGAGCTTGTGCATATTAACGTCCGTCGTTACATCCCGACGACAGGCAATTTAAGGATAGATATAGCATTTTCCACTAAAGTATTCAAGTTTTGTGTAAATAGCGTTTGATAAATCTAAGGTCTACTATCTCTATTCAATAATTAAATCAATTCCTTCTAAATTTTTTATACAGACCATATGATCGCTTGCATTAGACGATGCTTTGCCGAGGCCTCCATGCCGAAAATCCAATAAATTCTAGTCCGCGTAACCTAGTTACAAAACACACGTATCAAACTTCAATTTACATCTAAATAACTTAAATTCCATTTACTGCTCCAAAAATTTCACCATAAAAGCATATTAAAACGAATACATCTTTATGTTTTTTGCTTTTAATTTAAACGTTATATTATTAACAATCACGGACAAGTTACTCGTCCATGTTAACAATTAAATATTTAATTCATAATCTCATTAAACTAACACAAACTGTCGAGTGTACATAAACAAAAAGGGTAATAAAGATATAATAACCACAAATTTGATAGACAGATGCTAATATTAAGACCACTAAATAAAAATGTCATTCTGAATTTGGTTAGTTTATCTCACGGAACGAACATACTACCAACATAAGATGAGGAATAAACGACATTCACCGTGAGTAAACGCGAATCGAAAGGTTAGATTCGATTGTAACTCACACTCGCTCGTCTTCACTTGCCGATACCGACGACGTTAACTTGGTTAGCGCGATGGTGCAGTCATTCGATTAATTTTGTGGAACTCGCACTAGGTACACTGATCTCTCTCTAGTCGTGTCGGTTTACCATTCCATCGGACTATGTGAATGAGGGAATAGAGAGTGCACCTGTGCTTGCGCGCATACACTTGGACACTTTAATCCTCTCCTGTGCCGATGGCTAGTTACCGTTGAGGCTGACCGCCGTAGCCGAAATTCGGTCTGAAGGTCATTATTATGGCCTCAGATACTACTATTATGTCTGTTTTCGTCGTCCATGAGCTGTAGCAGACCAATACTGTCAAAAGTAGACTGTTTACTAATTTCTCACTGTAGTGTAAAATAAATCCTCCAATTTTTGAAAGTGCAGTCTATAACGAGTACCGACTCCCGACAGATGACAACAAAATGTTTAAATATTCAAATACGTAATATTCATATTATAATCTTATTTCTATTTTATTTCATACGTAATACATTTCTTTAATTTTATACTGTGGGAAACATGGACTAATTCTTTTTATATGACTTTGTTATTTCCGGCGTGGGTGTTGATTTCCCGGCCAAAACTGAGCGCGTTCACTTGACGCATTAACAAACTTGTACGTACCGTTTTAATTATAGACTGGTTAAATGCCAGCTAATATTTGTTTTCAGTTCGAGAGAAAACGTTTCCGCCTTAAATTTGAATTTGAAACATTCTCGAATCACCTATTATTGCTGGTCGTTAAAATTTTAAAATAATTGACTCGCTCGTCTTATCTTAGAGGTCCGGATGCGTCAATGTCGAATGAAAACATAATTTATCCAGAGTTTGGCCCTGTTGTAAGGTCATTTGATCCCAACCTTGTTGGTAGAGCAACATATTTTGTCTATTAGTAATCTGTGAGTCATGCTGGATAGCTTGTTATGAATGTAAAGATTATATTATTGGAGCATATAACGAATAATTATGCTCCAATATAACACTTCAAAAGTCGTTTTTAATTCGTATTGTTTGAACCCTGATTGTATACGGGACTTATTATCTATATTTTTGTAACAAATAGGTGACATTCGATTTCAATACAGTCCTACTCATTATGAGATTTGACTTTTGGATACCAATTGTAACAAACACTGACAAAATTGACTCGTCTTTTTTAGTTCAACTCAGATTTAAATCTATTATTTCGTAATGATATATACGCAAATACTACTTACGCATTGTTTATAACCAATTTTTACGTATTTTGTCGCGTTTAAAATCCAAAAGGTTTCTAGGTTTTTTACAACACCCATTGTCATATGGGTACTGATGTTGTTGAAGCCTGTCCGCTCATGAATTTGCTATTGTATCGCCATCAAACACTATCGAGTGAATTTGTATGACAAAAATGAGTTCCATTTACGTTCGCCAGGGAGGCTGTTCATATCGATAAAGATAATACAAAAATGTTAGAGCACACAAATTGTGTCAATGTACTGATGTTAAAGTTAGCTTTCTTCATTATTTTAATATTAATTTTTAGTCCGATCTACAAAACCAATGAACAGTTATCTCTATAATACACGACAACACTACATACTTTTAGCTTATTTTCATACACGCATTATTTTCATCAGTATTTGTTATTTAATTTCAGGTATTCTTATGGGGAGCCAATGCCGTACCGCTTCAGCAACGACGCGTACATAGCAAAACTTCTTATTCCCCTTCGCAGCGTTAACGACCACATTCACAGCATTTCCTTCTACAACGAGCCCGCCAAGAAGTTCACAGGTACCAGCTACTGGTTTGACCGACAAAATATATGTTGATCAACTAAATATATTCTTTTAACCGACTAAATAAAACGTTCAGTGCTCAAGTCTCTGTATTTTTCCGGACTAACAACTAGTTCCAGCTTGCCCCTGTAACCTTGAGGTGTTCCCCAGGACGTGGCCACCTCGCGTGCGTGCACTACTCGGGCAATAAGGCCTTTTCTAATCGGAGGCCGCTCTACAAGGAGCTAAGCATCAGGGACGACGTTAATCTGCTCTCGTTTTATGCGAAGAATAGGCTAGCTGCCGCTGGATTGGGGGGCGAGAAAGTTACAGGTATTTTTAACTGTAGTGGCATAGCTAGCGCTTGCTTCGCCCTCCGCATAATTCTATTAAAGACGACGATAAAAAACGAGGGCCTTGTAAGTAAACCAAACGTTGAATACAGTGTAAATACTCCAATACATATAGATATTATATTAGATACCACGTAGCGTTCCCCTTTTTGACAATTTTCATGATTTGATATTTAAGATTGCCCTTAAATTATAAAGTTATGTTTAATATAGCAGTTTTATAGTTCTCGTGTACACGAATTCTCTATTTTACGAATAAAAGACACTTATCGCAACAGTCTACGCAACCTAGAAATGTAAATGAATGAACATTAGTTTGACCATAACATGTAGTATTGTGATTAGTACCTAAATATAATCTGTAGTAACGTCATACAGTTTTTAGACTATCTGTAATGATTTTCTTATAAATTTATACGAATTCCTTCAATTAAAAACTTTAAATATTACCTCAACGAATTATATCCAGAGAATCCACACGTAGACTCATTAAAAATCATTGCCTGTTCTTTAAAAACAAAGCATTTTTACATAAATCGTTGTAAGGTTTACTTATTTGGCCATTGACATCTCTAAAATTCGCTTATTCGCTCCGAAGCTATCGGTGCATAAAACGAGCAGTTCTTAAAAAACAGTATAAACCGTATCTAACACTGCGTGTGGTGTCTCTTGCAGCGGGCGGCGCGCAGGAACAGCCGACGGCGCAGTGCGCGTAGCTCGGTCGCGAACTCGAGTGGGGCGTAGCTAGGGAAACCGTTGGGCACTCTAGAAAACCAAGTGACCTCACTAGAAATCATTAATCTAGCGAGGACCACAAAGCTTAAATTCGATCGAACTCAATGGGTGCGTTTGGCAGTAAAAAGCGCTAGCAAGCGCTTACAAGCGCTGAAATAGTTTTCGGCCAGGACACGATTACTACTTCAGTAGTGCTGACACAATCCGCCATTTTGCTTATTTAATTTGTTTGTTTTGAAGTAGAGTTTTTAAGTTGTTTTGTGCAATATTAGTTTTAAGTAATATAATAACGTGAATAAACATATACATGTTATTAAAAATTCATGATTGGTAAGTTTTTAATATGAATACTTTACAAACATATATTTAAATTAGGTTAGGTTCCCCGGTTAAAACTAACATCGTGTCTGGAGGAAAATAGCTACTTACGATTTGACAGCGCTTACCGCTTACGATCGCCATTTTGCTTACAAGCGCTTGCTAGCGCTTTTTTCTGCCAAACGCACCCACTGCTAGAGCCCGCCCCCGTAACCTAGCTACGCCTAAGGACCGACTTCACGCTCTCTGATCTCGGTATAACACACTCCGACTAACCCAGATAATAAATATATTTTTTACCGTTTTATTCGATATTATATTATATTTATTTTGCATATGTTTTTACAACGAATAATTTTTATAACATCTTTCTATAGAGATTGTCGTGATAACGCGGCCTCGTCCGCCATTTTGTGGGTAATCGAGACATCTCGTTTCCTGCTTAACAGAACTGATTTTTAACAATAAAGTTTTACATCACACTTCTAGTTGTTTTAATTAGTCTATGCATGGTAGTGCCCCTTTTCATGCTTGGAAATCCACGCTTGCTAATGCAGCGCTGAATCGACTAATATATGATTTAATAACTGACTTAAGTTTAAAAAGAACTAAATAGTTAAACATTTGTTTATAAGGATACTTGAATCATTTGTACATATTATCAATACGATTTCATTTGAACATATTTCATTTAAACATTTTATGGCCTGCTAGTTTACGTTTAATGAATAATTCCGTGCAAGTTGCCTGTACATGTACGATATACAAAAACGCAGCGTCTGCAAAATTAATTCACGCTCTCTCGCATAGCATGAAGCATTTAGAAAAAATATCCCAAAGCAAAAAGTGCATTCAGGCTTGTTCATCAAGCTTAAAAAGTTGATGTTACAGCTAACATCGTTCATGAGAGCTTAGTGTGTCATAAGCTTAAAACCAATTACTGATGACTATTGGCGTCATGAAATGACCAGCTTTTTGCGACAGCTAGAACCTTGTCATTTCTCCAATGGTCATTGTAATGGGGGACATGCGTAACATTGGTCCCGGTGCAGTGAAACTACTCCCGTGGAGGCCGAGCCGCAAGTTCCAGGCACCGCAGTTGATGGAGGACCCAGGATTGGAATTGAAAGCATCAAAAGCGGAACGCGCTGCTCGTTTCCGAGCCACAACAGTTGAGCCCGTTCTCACTCCAGCGACGGATCTAGCCGAAATCAAGAAGAAGAGACAGGAGGAGGCACGCGCTGCTGAAGAAAAGTAAGAAAATTTTACTTTTCCTTTAATTTTGCATGTGTCATTCATAATACATAATGTCATCGGCTCATCGGTAAATAATAGTAACACAGACTACTAACAGGGTACTACGAATAGTAATTTGGAGATTCGGTAGAACTAGAACCCACTAGTTACTGTCTGTGATCTGGAACCTAATATTGCTAAGGTGGAATACGTGATAATTAAACCGTAAAGGTAAGACAACAAACACTCAAGCAGACTAAATTTATTTCTTGAATCTTTGGTCTACCAACTTATTTGTTTTTATTGTTAGTTGGTTGTAGGCGAATACATAACAAGCAAAACTACATATAATGTTTAGTTTGATATATTAGGATGCATATTTTAAAACTTGAATAACAATAAAACTTCTTTTCTTCTTCGTTTCTTTATAGAAATATAAATTACCAATAATTTAAAGGTCTGTCTCCCTGTGACAAAAAATATACCTTAAAAGCAATAAAAAAAAATGTATCTTACAGAGCTCTTAAGGAAGAAGCCAAACGAGAAGCAGAACGCAAGGCTCAGGTAACAGTATTTTAAAATGTTATTAGAACCATTATTAAAAATATTAATATTGTAAACTAAATTTGAAACCTATTTTCTACAAAGGCTGAAAGAGAAGCCGCTGAAAGAAAAAAAGCAGAAGATGAAGCTCGAAAAGCAGAAGAAGCCAAACGAAAAGCTGAAGAAGAGGCTAGAAGAGCTGAGGAAGAAGCAAGAAAAGCTGCGGAGGAAGCCAAAAAGGCTGAAGAAGCACGGTTAGCTGAAGAGGCAAGGCTTGCAGAAGAAGCCAGAAAAGCGGAAGAAGCAAGGCTAGCAGAGGAAGCACGTCTTGCAGAAGAAGCTAGATTAGCAGAGGAAGCAAGACTAGCGGAAGAGGCCAGATTAGCTGAAGAAGCAAGGCTGGCTGAGGAAGCGCGATTAGCTGAGGAGGCAAGACTAGAAGAGGAACGTTTAGCTGAACAAAGAAGACAAGAAGAGCTGGCAAGGTTAGAAGAATTAGAAAGACAGGCACAAGAGGAACGTGAAGCAGAATTAGCAAGACAGGTTGGTTCTGACTTTATTTTTAATTTGTGATTGTTTTTTTAATATTTTGCATAGTTAGCAGTGCAGGACATCAGCCTTTTTTAAAATATATCAGCATAATTCATTAGTTTCTAATAATAATTGCCAATGTGAGAATGGACAATTCTCATAAAAATGTAGCTAGCATATTTCTCTCAGTTAACTCGTGGTTAAAAGCTACTATTACCATACGTCAGTTTATACTAAATCTATGGCCATAGAAAACTGAATATGCCGTAATCACCTCGCTAGACATATGGCATGGAATAGCAGTAACTTGTTTCTTACGTTTGACACTTTGGATTTTTCTTTTAAGTTTGAGGTGATTGTGCAATACTGCCATCTGTTGAAGGTAACAATTACCTCTACCACGTCACGTACACGGGTAGGAGTTAATTAACGAATTAAAATACTTTATTGCAAATTCCATGTGGTGGCGACGTGAGAGAATCCACTATCCCATATCATGCCATGGTAGAGAGATTAGAGTTAGAGGTGACAATGGTAAATGAAACAGGGAATTGGCAGCAGCATCTTTCTGATAACTTCAAATAATGAAAACTGCGCTTACCAACGGAGCTGCCAAGCGTGGCAACTATAGCTAATATCTTCCATATGAGGTACCTCCATCCATCACAGCCTATAATCGTCCACTACCGAACATAGGCCTCCCCCAAAGATTGCCTCAAAGGGGGATTTCGCCATAGTTGCCACGCTTGGTAGATGGGTTGGCAACCGCAGTTTTTGAGTTGTTACTAGGAAGATGTTGCTGCCCATCTCCTCTTTCACTTTCCCTCTGTCGGCTCTTACGACACCCACAGGACGATATGGGGAAGTCAGTAATTTTGGTACTGATTCCGAGGTACTGGAAAATAATCTATGGAAAATCGATGTCTATGTCCAGAAGTGGATATTTATGGGCTGTAATTAATTACATTTAAATCTAATTTTGTGTCTGATTACACAGGCTGCTGAATTAGCTGAAATCGCTCGACAAGAATCAGAACTTGCTGCGCAACGTCTTGAGGAACTATCGCACAGCGGCTCCGCGGGCGACAACGTTGCTGAAGTTGAAACTAGGTAGGTACTTAACATCAAAATAATATCTTATATTGATATTGATAAGATTGTCAGTAATCTCAAATTAATTATTGCGCCCTATAAATCAGAATTCACAGTAAACATAGGCAGGATATTCAATTTTCTTCTATTTTAAACTGATGACACAATTGCTCGCTCTTTTTGTACGGGGTAGAACCATGTTGCTGCTATATTAGTAGTATAGTTGTAGAACGAATGGGTCGGCTCGACCGGGGAAGGACCACGTTCTCACAGAATACCAGCATAAAATAGCAGCCTAACGCTGCTTAGTTTCGTACAGTGAGTGTGGAGAACCGGAGGCCCTTTTTACTGGAAACGAGGCATTCCGTCCTAGTACTCACTGGTGACAACGAATCTGCATTTTGATCCTTAATCGAGGATAAATGTAGATGTCTGTAGGCTATAGCAACCACTTACCATCAAGTGGACCGTGTGCTCGTTTGTCACCCTTATTCTATAAAAAAATGATTTACAATCATATGACCTTTCAATTAAAGTAATGACAATGCTTAAGAAACTGAAGCCTCGAACAACCACAACGAATCTGCATTTTAATTCGTAATCGGGGATAGATGTAGATGTCTGCGGGCTACAGAAACCACTTACCGTCAGGTGGACTGTGTGCTCGTTTGTCACCATATCCTATAAAACACATTTTATTATATGCTGGAACTACTTTTCTGCCTCGGAGTCAATCTGGGTATGTGCTTAACTTATTCTGCCGCCAAAATAGCAGTGCTTGTATTGCTGTGTTCCGACTGCGCGGCATATGGCCAAATACTCAATTTTAAGATGTCGTTAAGTCTCAGGGTGTCACAGTCACTTTGACTGAAAGTGATAGAGACAGCACGAGACTTAACGCCATCTTGAAATTGAGCAGCGTTTGAGTATTCGGACAATAGAGAGCCAGTATAATCACAGGCCGTGGGGCGTTACATCTTAGTTCTCAAGCGTGAAAACGCACCTGTAGCCTTTAGTACAGTACTTAACTGCTGTAGCATCTTACAGTCAGGTGGACTGTAAGTTTATTTATCACGTCAGTTGTCCAACCTTCTTACCACAATCAGGAATAGTGTGACGGATTCCGTTACATCACCATCACCACCCCGCGATAAATGTCAGAAAGATATGCGAGTGCTATAATATGCGGTATAACCATCTCGTTAAGACACAAAATATCCAGACCATCGGCTACGGGATGCAGCGTCAAAAGTGCAAGACGTCTGGAACTTTAATTGCCAGTGCGTCGGCTAAGCATGGCGGTAAAGGCAAATCCTTCCTACAGTTGAAAAGGTCCATGCCCAGCGGTGTATGTGTACGTCGGATTAAAAAAATAAAACATATGATTTATATGTGGTAGAGTCACGCTGCAGCTATATTATGGTTGTAGCACGAATGGTTCGGCTCGACCGGAGAAGGATCACGCTCTCACAGAATACGAGCGTAAAATAGCAGCTTAGTGCTGCTGGGTTTCGTATAGTGAATGTAGAGAACCGGAGACCCGTTTTACTGGAATCGAGACATTCCATCTTAGTCCTCAGGGGCGACAACGCATCTGCGTTTTGATACCTTAATCGAGGATAAATGTAATGTTTATTGGCCACAGCAACCACTTACCATCACTTATTCCATTATAAAAAAAAATATTTAAAATCATATGACCTTTCGATTAGAGTAATAACAATGAATAAGAAACAGATATAATAAGCCTCGGCTCCAGAATTCAAACTCAAGTAGAAAATCTCAAATACAATATTTATTTACTTCCAAATACAACGTAAACACGCAATTTCTTTAGTTAAGTATCGTATATTGACTTTTTTATTACGACTATGAGTCGTAGGTACTGACAATAATGATGTTTATCTATCACATCAGTTTAGGAGATGGTAATGCACTATAATATGCGGCAGTGGATATTCTTACACCACCACTACATGGTTACCACACTACATTGCACGCCGTGGGTGTCGTGAGGCGACGGAGGGAAACTCAAACAGGAGATGGGCAACAGCATCTTCCTGATAACAACTCAAAATAACAAAAAAATACTGCGGTTGCTAACCTGCTTGCCAAGCGTGGCAACTATGGCAAAATATCCCCTACGAGTCAATCTATGGATGAAGCGTGTGTTCAGCAGTGGACATTTTGAGAAAGCGTCAGTTTGAGAAAATGGGCACTAGTAAAATTTTATCTACTAGAGGAATAAATTACGTGCACAGATTTTATTATAAAATTAAAAACACAACAATGTTAACGGAAATGAATTAAATATGCAAGAACACAAATTGATCTGACTTGGTCGTAACTTACTTAACTGACTTGGTTGACTTACGCAACTTTAATACTGCTCGTATTAAAGAAGCGATCGAGCGGAACCAGGGCTCCAAAGTCTTTGCCAGAGATCTGTCTGCCAGAAAGAGCCAACTGTCAAGGCTGAAGACTGAGTGTGGCAACATCGTTTCCGGGACACCTGAGACTCTGAGTGAGATTGAGAGGTTCTATGGGCAGCTGTACACATCATCGTGGGAGCCACACGCAAGTGTGAGTAACGATCCAAGAGCAAGTCTTATCCAACACTATTCCGATGATATCCCGGACGTCAGTCTGAGCGAGATTAGAATGGCTCCACCACCTTAAAAACGGCACGGCCCCGGGCGAGGATGGAATTACAGCGGATCTTCTGAAAGCGGGTGGAACACCGGTACTTGAAGTCCTTCAGAAGCTCTTCAATTCCGTCCTCCATGGTGGCACTACTCCGGAGGCCTGGAGCAGAAGAAGAGAAAGAAAGGCGACAACGCTCTCTTGAAGAACTACAGACCGATTTCCCTTCTGAGCCGCGTCTACGTACTGTTTTTGAGAGTCATTACGAATCGTCTCGCACGCAGACTCGACGACTTCCAGCCTTCCGAACAAGCCGGTTTCCGAAAAGGCTTCAGTACCATAGACCACATACATACCCTTCGGCAAATTGTACAGAAGTCCGAAGAGTACAATCTGCCACTTTGCCTGGCGTATGTGGACTATGAGAAAGCCTTTGATTCCGTCGAAATTTGGGCGGTGCTACAGTCTCTTCAGCGGTGCCTAGTTGACTGTCGGTACATCGAAGTGCTGAAGTGTTTGTACAGTAGGGCTACGATGGCTATCCGAGTACAGAACCAGAGTACGAAACCTATCCAACTGCAGAGAGGTGTAAGACAGGGTGATGTTATATCCCCGAAACTCTTCACCGCTGCGCTGGAAGACGTTTTCAAGCTACTGGACTGGAAAGGATACGGTATTAACATCAATGACGAGTACATCACTCACCTTCGATTTGCCGACGATATAGTCCTTATGGCAGAATCGCTGGAGGACCTTAGCACTATGCTCAATGACCTCAATGGTGTCTCCCAACAGATAGGTCTTAAGATGAACATGGACCAAACAAAGATCATGTTTAATGTCCATGTCACACCAATGCCGGTAGTTGTTGGGAGCACTATGCTCGAAGTTGTTGACGAGTACGTTTACCCGGGACAAATAGTCCGACTAGGTAAGTCCAACTTCGACCGAGAGGTCAATCGACGGATTCAACTCGGCTGGGCAGCGTTCGGGAAATTACGACACATCTTCTCGTCAGGTATACCTCAATCTCTGAAAACTAAAGTGTATAACCAGTGCGTGTTGCCAGTGATGACTTACGGATCTGAGACGTGGTCCTTCACCGCTGGCCGTATGAGGACGCTCAAGGTCGCTCAGCGAGCTATGGAGAGGGCTATGCTCGGAGTTTCACTGCGAGATAGACTCAGAAATGAGGATATCCGCAGTAAAACCAGAGTGACCGACATAGCCCAACGGATTAGTAAGCTGAAGTGGCAATGGGCCGGCCATATAGCTCGAAGAACCGATAACCGATGGGGAAGAAAGGTTCTCGAGTGGCAGCCTCGTACCGGTAGGTGTAGGATAGGGCGACCCCCCACTAGATGGAGTGACGACCTGGTAATACATGCAAGAAGTCGATGGATGCAGGTGGCTCAGGACCATGCTTTGTGGCATTACTTGGGGGAGGCCTATGTTCAGCAGTGGACTTGTGAAGCGCTGTAATGATGAATGATGATGGTCGTAACTGCTTCAGTTTCTCTAACACTGGCCCAAAGCCTGCTTTTCATTTTGAAATCAGGGCTGTTTAAATTATTAAAATTGATCAGCTTGTAATAAATTCCTCTATATTAACGAAGCATTATATATTTTATTTATTTAAATTTTTACAGCGACGTGCCTGAGGTAGAATCTCAGCCCATTGTTGAGGAACCAGAAAGCCCGGAGGTGGTCCCTGATGCCTCAGGGGTTGCGGACCAGCCTGACGCCGTCGCAGAAATCAGCGAAGATGAGCAAGCCGAGCCAGATGTTACGGACGAAGAATAGTCTTTTAATTACTGTTAATTATTTTTTAAATTTTAAATGATAAAAGTACGTTACAAAATATAGGATAATAAGTATGCTGAATAATGCCAAAGTTATTGATTGAATTTGGTAATAACCTTATCAAATTAAAAAGGGATAGGAAATAAAGAACATACTGTTCTACAAGCATTTTCTTTTTTATGTGTTTTTTAAATTAATTTATTAGGTGTAGAAACTATTCATGGCTCATGTATTAAGTGTAAATACATGTACGATGTAATAGTAAATTTGTTGTGAATTCGTCTGTTTGTTACTCTTTCTCTTTCCTGTCCGTAAATAAATTACGCGTCAACGAGAGACATAAAGTCAATAACAGAGTAAGTTATCATTGTTAACAAATTGTTTTTGTTTTATTTTGTAATATTAAATTTTTATAAAATGTTTTGTTATGTTTAACAATAAAAGACATTAACGCATTGTGGTTATTTTTTTTAAAACAAGAGAATCTATAAAAATACGTTTCATGAGGTGTGTTACCCGCTTTAAAACACGGATTAATGATAAAAAATATAACAAGTGCTAGAAGTATATTTTAATCCATTGCACTATTTCGTTACGTGCGGATCGTGAGGAATGAGTGAAATATCTTGTCATTGTGTTCTGATATTGTTATGAGAGATATTATTATGGCGGTATATCCATCTTGTTTACGTCGGATCTAAAATATCTGAACCAGCGATGGACAGCAGGGTCAAACATGCTCAGGCTCAGGTCACGCCTGGTGCTGTTGTCGTTATTCCACTTGCCAAGCGTGAACGTTAAGGCAAATCTTTCGTACACGTAAGACACCCATCTGGTGCAGTTGAAAACCGAATCAGTTAAAAATTTATAAATCAATTTGCAAAAACAGAATAAAAAGTAACAAGTTTTAACAGTAGAGACACGCGGCAGCTTTTGCTGTCGCACGGATGGGCCGGCTCGAACCGGGATGGTACCACGACCTCACAGAATACCAGCGTGAAGTAGAGATTTACGTCTGCGTTTCGTTTCGTGAGTGCAGGTGGCCGGATGCCCAATTCCCCCCCCCCCTGAACATGGTAGCGGACACGATTAAAAAACTACCCCCGGAGGGTACCAGCACCCCTGGTGACGGAGAATCCCTCGCTTAGCATTCACGAACAAGTTATCCTACTCTTCTTTGAGCGTGGGTGCTCAGGCTGCCCCGCATATTCTGGGGGAGGCGCAATTCCGCTCGCGACTAAAACTACTCGGGGCAAGCGGAGCAAAAACACCAAGGCAATCCCTGCCACGCTATCCGCGAATTTTTGCGACATCAGGGGACTTCATTCCAAACTTAACGCTGTCCACTAACATCTGGAGACGGCCGAGACTCAGATGTCTTTTCCAGCTGATACTTCATATCTCTCCTACCCGGGGTACAAATTAGAACGCTTCTTTGTGTCCCGGGCTGGAGTTTGCGTATACGTTAGAGAGGACCTCTGTTTTCGATGCCTCGGCAGTCTTGAAGGTAAAGACCTGTCCATTCTATGGCTGCACGTAGATAGCGACAGCCCTGTTGGACCTTCTGCTGACCTCACATCCAGACAGATATCGGGTTTCCGTCGACGCCCCTCTAGGCTCGTCAGACCATTGTCTTGTCCGGAGTCTGGTGCCAGTCACATTAACGTCGCGGTTGCATTCTGCAGGCTGCCGCCGTGTTTGGCACTATAGGTCAGCCGATTGGGATAGAATGCGGTATATTTTTGCATCCTACCCTTGGGGGCGGGTTTGCTTCTCGCCGATCGATCCCAGCGTTGATGCTGATTTTGTCGCTGATGTGGTACATCAGGGCATGAAACTCTTTATTCCGTCCTCTGTGGTTCTCATCGGAGGCAGATCCCAGCCATGGTTTGGTCCCTCCTGTAAAACGGCATCACGCTATAAGCAAAAGTGCTACCGAGGCTGGCCTGACGCATCAACGTCTCGAGATGTAAACACCAGCGCTTTTAAAAAGAAGTATAATTCCGCCTCCAGGTCCTTCAAAAGAGTCATTGCCAAGGCAAGGTCTGAGCACTTCGGCAGAATTGGCGCGAAGCTAGTTCACCTTCCTTCGGGAACCCCTGCTTCTGGTCTCTTTCCAATGTTGTCCAAGGAAACTTCTGTCAGTCATCTCTTCCATCTCTGCACAGAGAGGACGACTCCCTGACCCATGCCGCAAAGAAGAAAGCCGATCTGTTAGGCTCTCTCATTACACCCAACTTAACTCTCGATGACGCGGGGAACACACCGCCGACCACCCCGCGCTGTGAATGCTCCATGCTGGAGATGCGGCTTACACAGCGCTCGGTTCGCAAAGCACTCCTCTCCCTGGACGTCAGCAAGTTGTGTCGGTCTGATTGAATCCCTCCCATTGTGCTGAAGACCTATGCTCCGGAGTTGGCACCGGTTTTAACGCGTCTTTTCCGTTACTCCTACTCCCAAGGCGTAGTCCCCAATTCATGAAAGACAGCTTTGGTCTACCCGATCACCACCCGATTACCACCCGTCTAACTACAGGCATATCGCTATCACCTCCTTGTTCTCCAAAATAATGGAGTCCATTGTAAGCTGCCAGCTCATGAGTTACCTTGAGGATCACCAGCTGATTAGTGACCGTCAATATGGTTTTCGTCGTGGTCGATCAGCTGGTAATTAATGGCTTCTGACCTGACTCATAGATGGGCGGAAGCAGTAGAGTCCAAGGCAGGCAAGGTAGGGAGGCATTCGCCGTTAGTTTAGATATAGTGAAGGCCTTCGATCGGGTCTGGCACAAAGCGCTTCTTTCGAAGCTCCCTTCCTACGGGCATCCTGAGACGTTGTGCAATTGGATCACTAGTTTCCTTGCTAATCGAAGCATCAAGGTCGTAGTCGACGGTGCATGCTCTGATTACAAGCCTATTAACGCTGGTGATCCACAAGGCTGCATGACAGCACCAACCTGACAACCTGACAGACCAACGCTGTTTCTTCTGCATATCAATGATTGTTGCAAACTGGTAACATTCATTGCTATGCAGACGACAGCACTGATAATGCCTTATACACCGACCATGCCAATATTTCTCGGGAAAACGTCGCCAAGTACCGGGACAAACTTGTGTCTTAATCTGAAGTCGAGTCTTTGCTGAACAAAGTCTCGGATTGGGGGCGACTAAAACTAGTCCAATTCAATCCCCAGAAGACACAGGTTTACGCGTTTACTGCTAAAACCCTTTGTCGTATCTCCTCAGTTTGAAGGCACGCAAGGGCTGCCTCAGCTGGCATCGGAATCCTCGGCGTCGACATATCGAATAGTGTGCAGTTTCGTGGTCACTTGGAGGGGAAGGCCAAATTGGCCTCTAAAAATCTTTGCGTGCTCAGTAGAGTGAGACAGTATTTCATGCCGGCACATCGTTTGCAACTTTACAAAGTGCAAGTTCGGCCTCAAATGGAATACTGTTCTCATCTCTGGGTCGGAGCTGCCGCTCCCAATGCCAGTTCCTTCCACTTGACCGTATCCAGCGTAGAGCGATTCGAATCGTCGACGACCGAGTTCTTTCCGATCGGCTCGATTCACTGGCGCTGCGTTGCTCCCCGTTTTATATCGTATCTACCATGGTGTTTTAAAGAATTGTTCGGATTAATTCCAGCCGCCAAATTTCACGAACGCACATCGCGTAAAAATTCACGATACCATCCTCACCATCTGGATGCTTGGCGGTCCACCACTGTGCGTTTTACTAGGAGTTTTCTCTCTCGTACAACTTCTCTGTGGAATTGCTTACCACCGGCGATTTTTCCGGACCGATACGACTTAGGGACCTTCAAGAAAAGAGCTTACACCTTCCGAAAAGGCCGGCAACGCACCTGCAATTCTCCCTGGTGTTGCGATTGTTCACGGGCGGCGGTAGTCCTTTACCATCAGGTGAGCCGCATGCTCGTTCTCCCTCGTTTGCCCTCTTCTATAAAAGGGTAAGTACTGTAAGAAAAAAATTAAAATTCAAGCCTAAGTCGCGGGTCACAAAAAAGGGTGAAAAGCCATGGCCGAAGATGCCTTACGTCTCTTCTGTGTGTTTTTAATTGTAACATACGAGTACATGATTGTAAGATGTTTTTGTTTTAAAGTCCCGCTGGGTTTCTTGCCGGTTTTTCCTAGGACAGAGATGTTTTTCCGAACCAGTGGTAAGTTAAAAAAGTGACTTTCAATAAGTAGTTTTATAATCTATATTGAATAAAATAGTTTCTGATTCTGTGCTCCTCGCCTGAGTTTAATACCTATGTAATACCCAAAATTAATTAATATTTCAAACGAATAGATAGATCAACAGCAGTATCTACGCGCAGATCTACAGAGGCACAAGGATGAAACACCACCAACTTCCTGTCTTCGGACTGTTCTTGTGAATTTCTTGACAGAAAAAGACACAGAGAGAAAAGACGAGTCCGACCCTGGATTCGAATCCGGGACCTCAAGATTAGGACCACTAGACTAATGAGGCAATAGATGTGGCGCATACGAGACAAATAAAAAACAATAATTATAAAAAAAATTTTGTTGTAGCTCTGCGTTAATTGATTTTTTTTAAACTTACTACATATAAAAACTGCGCTTTGCTTTTAATTTTTGGGAAGTCTTCGTCTGAAATTTATACCCTATATTAAAGCAACCGACTTTAAGCCAGTACAAGGCCAGTACTAACATATATAATCAAGGATTACATCAATATATAAATTGAAGTGGCTGTTTGTAATGTCAAAATACAGCGTTTTACTAAATGCATAATATGAAAGTATATGCGGTACTTATAACTAATTTTTTTGTGATGTCTGTTTATTCAGGCTTATCTCCGAAATGGACCGATTTTAGCGGAATATTCACTTACAGAAAGCTGACGTAATAAGAAATAACTTAGGGTACTTTAATTTTGAAAAAGAATTAGGGTTCTGCGCAAAAAAAATTAAACCAATTAAGCTAGTATTCAACTTATATAATATCAATGTAGGTACCTATAGGTGTTTGGAAGATTTTTTTATAGGAGAGGGGGCAAACGAGCATACGGCTCACCTGATGGTAAGTGATCACCGTCGCCCATGAACAGCTGCAACACCAGGGGGATTGCAGATGCGTTGCCGGCCTTTTAAAAAGGAATAGGCTCTTTTCTTGAAGGTCCCTAAGCCGGATCGGTCCGAAAAATCTCTGGTGGTATTTGATTCCACAAGGAAGTTGTGCGAGGAAGAAAACATCTTTTAAATCGCTTAGTGGTTGACCGCCAGTCATCCAGATGGTAATGTCCTCCAGACCGAATTTCGGCCACAGCGGCCTGCCTCAACGGAGGCTAGCCATCGGCGCAGAACAGGATTATAGTGCCCAAGTGTATGCGCGCAAGCACAGGTGCACTCTCTATTCCCTCACTCTCGTAATCCGATGGGACGGTAAACCGACACGACCGGGAGAGAGATCAGGCGCAGGACCAACGGCTTTACGTGCTTTCCGAGGCACGGGGGTGAGACACCGCCAACTTCCTGACTCCGGGCAGCTACTGAGAATTTCTTGACAGAAAAACTCAATAATTGATTTATTTTGGCCCGACCCGGGATTCGAACCCAGGACCTTATGATCAGCAGTCGCACTACTACAACCACTAGACCAACGAGGCAGTCAAGACACAGATGGTAGACAAGATACAAGTGGTATGGATGGTATCGCCAGTTTTGTCGCGATGTGCGATGGTGAAACTGTGCAGCTGGAATTAGTCCGAACAATTCCTCAGAGTACTCCCCGTGGTAGATGTGATAAAATACGCAAAGAGATGCAACATCTCTGCACAGTGCCAGTGAGTCAAGCCGATCGGAAATAGCTCGGTCGCCGACGATTCGAACTGATCTGCGTTGGATGCGTCAAATGGAAGGAGCTGACACTGGGGAGCCCCGGCCCAGAGATGGGAACAGTATTCCGGCTACGACGTGAGGCTGTTCCCTCATCAAATGAAAATGCTACGGCTGAGGATGCGGTGCTACAAGTTTCAGAACAACCCGCACACGTGGATACCGCCGTAAATACCACAATGGTAGCTGATTCAAATGATGATGGAACATTCGCTCAGAAACTAGAAGTAGAGCAAATGAGGAGTATATTGGAAGAGGCGATTGTGGAAACGCGCAGTACGCCTCTCGAAAATCGACCGCGACTTCCGCGCATAGTCCTAAGCAAGCAAAATCGGACTGTCGTGAGTGCTCTGAACCCAATACTGGTGACCTATTTAGAAGCCAACCGGGACCTTTGCGATACGGACTCAATTCTTTTTGGCGCCGCTCTGGCAGTCTGCCGTATTATAAGCGCCAAGGTTTCCACGGCTGGACGCACTACTGGCCAAAGTAGCGCTATCCCAGCATGGAGAAGAAGAATTGAGGAGCGTGTCGCAAAGCTCTCATCGGCAGACTATCATGATATGCTTCAGATCAGGCAATAACAGGCCAAGAATTGTGCGCACCGTCTGGATGGCGTTTGCTGGGCAAATGTCAGTTTGTCCCAGCCGGATATAATGCAAAAACTGACGGAGCGCATAGATGATCTGAAGCAGAGAATCACTGCTTGAGGAAAGCGGATTTGGCGATATAGCGAGAGGTCGACTCGGTTCAACCAGAATCGTCTCTTCCAGAGTGATTAGAATCTATGAATCATTGGAGCGACCAATGATAAGCGCAACGGGCCCAGCACAGAATCAGGCCGACACTGTAACATTCTGGCGTGAGTGTAACGCCCATGGACCCCGACATTATAACGCCTAAAGCTGAGGCGGTCCGTAGGGCCCCGAACTGGAAAAATCCGGGACTCAACGGGCTGCATCACTACTGGCTGAAGGGGTTTGTGGTGTGTCACACTGTGCTCGCCCGACAGTTCCAAGAGGCTCTCAACCAGAAGTCGCTCCCGAGCTTCTTCACTACTATAATCACTCATTTGGTTCCTAAAGACCAGGATACCACAGACCCGAGTAAATACCGCCCCATCACATGTCCACCGACCATATACAAGACATTAACATCCATTTTGAGCGCGAGGATCATTCGTCACCTGGACTCAAATCAGGTGATGTCGCGCGCTCAAAATGACCAAGGAACCACTTCTCATTGACGTGATCATTGACGAAGTGGTGAAACGCAACCGTCGGAACTTCTCCGCTGCCTGGATAGACTACAAAAAGGCATTCGACTCGGTGCCCCATACATGGCTAAAGAGGGTCCTCGAGCTGTACAGTTAGAGACTTCCTCGAGCAGTGTATGTGTATGGAGTTGTGGAGTACAATCCTTTGTCATCTGGGCGAGCGGATAATGGCTGCAGAAAGCCACATAAGGATAAGAAGAGGTATCTTCCAGGGTGATTACTTTACTGGAGGGATCCGGGAGGGGTTTTCAGCTTCACACCTTTTTTATATGGATGACCTCAAGTTATTCGCCTCCAGTCGCTCCCATCTTGTGGAATTGCTAAACATCACTTGTGAATTTAGCAATTCTATTGGAATGGAGCTGGGGACCGATAAGTGTGCGTTCTTTCATGTTGAAAGGGGAAGGGTTGCTAACTCTGAGGGCATAGACTTATCTATGCTCATCAATTTAAGGACCCTTTCCGAGGATGAAACATACCGATACCTGGGTGTGTCACAGAACATCAGTATCGATGAGGCTGGTATGAAACAGTCAATTTGCGACGTGTTTTATGCACGCTTGACCAAAGTGCTCAACAGCCTTTTGTCTGGTGTGAATAAGACACACGCATATAACAGTTGGGTCGTGCCTTTTTTTATAGAAGAGGGGGCAAACGAGCATGCGGCTCACTTGATGTTAAGTGACTACCGCCGCCCATGATCAACCGCAACACCAGGGGAATTGCAGGTGCGTTGCCGGCCCTTTAGAAAGGAGTAAGCTCTTTTCTTGAAGGTCCCCAGGTCGTATCGGTCCGTAAAAATCGCCGGTGGTAAACTATTCCACAGAGAGGTTGTACGCGGAAGAAAACTCTTCTTGAAAAGTACAGTGGTGGACCGCCAAGCATCCAGATGGTGTGAATGGTATCGGGACGTTTGCCGCGTAGTGCGTTCACGAAATTTCGCGGCTGGGATTAATCCAAACAATTCCTCGGAGCACTCCCCATGGTATATGAGAAAGAAAATGCAAAGAGATGCAACGATCGGAAAGCACTCGGTCGTATATGATTCGACCCGGTCTGCGCTGGATGCGGTCAAGTGGAAGGAGCTGGTACTGGGGAGCCCCGCTCAGAGATGGGAATAGTATTCCATGTGCGGCCGAACCTGTGCCTTGTAAAGTTGCAGGCGGTGTGCCGGCATTAAATACTATCCCGCTCTGCTGAGCACGCCAAGCTTTTTAGAGGCCAATTTCGCCTTCTCTTCCAAGTGACCACGAAACTGCACGTCACTCGATATGTCGACGCCGAGGATTCCGATACTAGCTGAGGCAACAAGGGGAGTGCCTTGAAACTGAGGAGATACGACAAAGGGGTTCTTTTTAGCGGTTAACGCGCAAACTTGTGTCTTCTGGGGGTTAAACTGGACAAGATTTAGTCGCCCCCAATCCGAGACTCTGTTCAGCAAAAACTCGACTTCAGACACAAGTTTGTCCCAGTACTCGGAGACATTATCCCGAGAGATATTGGCACGGCCGGTATAAAGAGCATCACCAGTGCTGTCATCTGGATAGCAATGAATGTTACGGGTTTGTGTAAGTATTACCAAAGAATCAAAAGGGGTAAATAGAATAAGTCTTACTAGTGGCAAATATAAAATGTATACTTTGAATAATAAAGTAATAACTCGTGAATTAGAGCAGGTTGATTGGAGTAAGCTCGTAGAGATAAACTGTCCTTTGATAATTTATGAACAATTGTGTAATGTTTTTGTACCTATCTACGATAAAGCTAAAGTTAGCCTTAATTGTAATAGAAAAAAACGAGTAATACAGCCGTGGATCTCTAAAAAAATTAAAATATTGATAGATAGAAGAGATTATTTATTCCGCAGGTGGAAGACTAGTCCTCAAAATGTTACTTATAGATTAGAATATACGAATCACAGAAATCAAACAAATAAAAATATTAACAAAGCTAAAAATAATTATGGAAGGCAGGAACTACCACGCTGTCAGGGAGACTTTAGAAAATTATGGGAAACAATAAATTGCTGGCTAGGAAATAGTAAAAATAGTTTAGATGACGTAGTAATTAAGTATCTAGGAAAAATCAATAGTTTAAGTGACATATGTTCAAAATTCTCAGAAACATTTACAAAAGAAATTAATAAAATAAAACATCAATGTAATATTAAATTTCTAAATCGCGAGTCCTATGTAAAATTGAGTGATACCACTCTTTCTATTATAAAAAGGTAATCGAAATTGAAATAAAAAAAAATTTGTCAACTAAATAGTAAAAATCACCAGCTTTAGATGGAATAAGGCCGCAAGATCTATTATATATTTTAGTTAAAGAAAAAATAAGTCCAATATTAGCAAAATTTGTAAACCTTAGTTTTAAAACAGACTTATACCCAGACAGTTTAAAAAAGTCTATTATCCGCCCTGTTTATAAGCAAGGAGACCATTGCAATTATTCAAACTATAGACCTATTGCAATATTGTCTGTTATTAATAAAATAGTGGAGAAAGTGATAGTTAAGAGAATTAGTGAGTATCTAGAAAAAAACTGCATAATTACAGAAAAGCAGCACGGAATTAGAAAATTACGTAGTACAATGACGGCCTTATCTATTTTCACCGACGATATCAACGAATGCTTAGGTAGTAAGCAGTATGTATTTCTTCTATTCATAGATTTTAAAAAAGCGTTTGATACGCTGGACCATGAGCAGCAGTTGGTGGCTATGGAAGAGTGCGGAATCCACGGGCCAATCAGCTCATGGTTTCGTAATTATTTACATAACAGAAGGTTGTGCACAAAGATAAAAGAAACCATTTGTCATGGTAAATTAGTTAGTACTGGAGTTCCTACTGGCTCTGTGTTTGGGCCTGTGGGCTATATCATGCATGTAAATAGCATGGTAAACGTTGTAAAAAACTGCAGAACATACATGTATGCTGACGACACATGCATGATGTATGCTGACAGGGATGTAAAGGTGATTGAGAACAAAATACAATCGGATTTTAATAACGTAATCAAATGGTCCCACGATAATGGAATAATTTTAAATATAGAGAAAACGAAATGCATACTCATTCAATCGCCATACCTGCATAAACCATGTATACCTATAAATAACATAGGCCATTCGTATGATTGCTTGCATAGAAATAAACAATGCGTTGGTTGTAAATCGATTGAGCTTGTTGATAATTACAAATATCTAGGATTAACCATAGATACTATGTTTAGTTGGAATTTCCATAAAGAACGAGCCTATGTAATAAATTAAGATCGTTATTATGTAAGTTTGAACACTTTAAAAGTGTAGTTGATAAAACAACTTTACGCATTCTGTACTATGCTCTCGTGGATTCTGTAATTAATTATGGCCTTTCAGCCTATGGACGTACGTTCCGAACGTACATGGATAGGATACATAATCTACATACATACATAATACATAAACACTCACGCCTGTCACCTATAGGGGTAGGCAGAGACTACAGACTTCCATTTGGCACGATCCTGACACACCTCTCTCGCCTCCTTCACATCCATACACCTACGCATACATGCTCGTCGGTTAAGGGTACTCCTAATTTGGCCCGTTTTCAATAAATCGCCAATTTGGTTGATAAATTTTCGCCTAGGACGTCCCTTTCCGACTCTGCCAATCACTTCTGCAACATAAATTTTCTTTGTCACTCTTTCCTTATTCATTCTTTCCACATGACCAAACCACCGAAGTATTCCTTTCTTAATCCTGGTCACAACATCATCTTGCAAACCACACTCTTCTCTTATTACACAATTTCTTACCCTGTCGTTCAGATTCAGCCCTAACATACTCCTTAACGACCACATTTCTCCTGCGTTGATTCTACTCTCGTGCTTCTTCTACCACACCCAACTTTCACTACCATACGTTAAAGTAGGGACCAACACAGCATTGTGAATTGCCATACGTGCCTTTTTTGACACATTTTGACTCTTCACAATAGAGTGCAGGGCCCCATTTACTCTATTTCCCTCATTCACTCGTCGTTCTATATCCTTATCATATCTCCCATCCCTGCTAAATACGCAGCCCAAATATACAAACTCATCTACTTCCTTCTATTCTTATTTCACAAATCGTTTTACTTTCTTCTCTTTCAAAAACCATAACCTTCGTCTTACTTGCGTTCATTTTCATACCCCTTTCTTTTAATGATCTGTTCATTAATGTAACCATCATTTGCAACTCGGCAGCCGACGACGCAAGGATAACTTGATCATCGGCGTACAAAAGGCATTTGACGGTTAACTCACCCATTCTTA